TAGTGGTAGTGGTAATGGTAGTGGTGTGGTAGTGGTAGTGGTAGTGGTGGTAGTGGTAGTAGTGGTAGTGATGGTAGAAATAGTCGTCGTACCAGTCAAACAGTTAGTGGCAGTAGTGGTATGGTAGTGGCAGCGGCCGTGGCCGTGGCAGTCGTAGTAGTCGTCGTAGTTGGTGGTCGGCTGACTCGGCTGTTCGCTTGCTTGCCCCATTGTTCGCTGGCTTGATTGCTAGCCAGAAATGGACCTGGAAAACCACACGGTGTTCGTTGTCGTGCACGCAGCGTGCTGGTGGTGGTTGTCGTCGTGGCGATACATACTGGCAGCTGCAAAGCAGCAGTGGAACCTTTTGACAGCCGTGGTTGTGAGCCTGGCAACTAGTTTGGGGCAACTCTCCCGAGCAGAAAAAGCACGAGCAGAATGAAGCACATGGCCCCAGATGTAGAGGACCACATAACACATATCGAATTACATTTGATTCAAGCCGTGTGGATCAGTGATCTCGAGGTCGGCAGTGGGAACTAGAACACATGTTGGAATCTAGCCCTACTCCGCACATCAGGAAGCAAGCCCTGGCGTGGTAGTCAGTCGGGAATGCGAGGTGGCGGCTCCAAATGTGACTGCTACACAGCTTGTGCGGAAGGAAGGGGAAGCGCTTCTATAGGCATAGCCGGAAGTGTTGCCCTTTTCTCCTCCGAGTTCTCCCGTCAAGTGGAGCCAACTCATCCTCTTCTTCGAGAGCATGGTCGCTAGACATTAAGATCTTCCTGTTGCCCGATGTTGTTTCAGTAGACATGCCTGGAACTGAAAGTCGATCCTGGTACATGACCTTGACTGCTGCCTTGGTTTGGCCTTGCTTTGAAACCCCGTAGATCCAACTCTCTCGTTCCAGCAATTTGGTGGCCAAACCATGCCAAACTGCCTTCTTTCGCCTGCATGAAATCTTATCCGGCTTGCTCTGGCGAGAGTCGGGGTCCATGGACCAGCGGCAAAAATATGATGCCAGCCGAGCAACGCATCAGCTTCATCGAGGGTGTTGCCGTTGTAGTACGGAATGCCTCAAGCGTTTCCGTCGATGTGACCCCCTTTCCGCTTGAGAGTGGCAGCAAGCTTTGAAGCTAGAACCAAACGCAAGCAATATGACCAGCAAGCAGTCGCTCAGGTACACTATCTGTCGCCACTGTCAAAACTGGCTGACTAGATGGAAGGCAATCTCTGCCACACAGAGGCTTATCGCCGTGAGGAGCATGGCCAGGGAGGAAGCCGCAAACACAGTCCTGCGATGTCCACTTATTTACACTTTACCAGGACAAGATCTGGCGGAGCCTCAGGCACGTCAGTCCAAAGCCCTTGGCAACTACTGTATTGCCATGGACAGTGCAGAAGGATGGGCCACTAGGCAACCAGCAACAAAACCGAACACATGCCGCAGACTTCATCGTCCTGCACGCTATGCTGCATTGAACCACGGCTTGATTAACCGACCAATGTAGACTACAAGCTTGAATTCAAGATGACTGTGAACTGGACGGCAAAGGCACAGGGTGTGTGATCATTCCACGCGCAAGTGCTCGTTTTATACAGAAACTGAAGCCAAGGCACCAGAAAATCCCACTGATGTAGCCCAAATTTTTGAGCTCCTGGAAAAGCGCCGTCTGTGTTCCAAGCCCTTTCTTAACACTTCTTCCGGGCACAGATACAGGACATGGTCTGCCAACAGGAACCTCGACTGTGACACCTGTCGCCGCCTTTTCTAGTCTAGGTCTAGACTCCGGAGAGCAAAAAGAGACCCAAAACATGTCTTATGCCACAGCTGGCCCCAAACAAACGGGGGCGTCTTTGGCCGCTTCGAAGCCGAAACCTGGAAGATTTGCTGGCCCAGGGGCCGAGAAGCAGTAGGAGCCAACGGTGGCACCAAGCTTTCCGAAAGCTGCGCTAATGCCGGCACCAGTGCCACGGACCATGCTAGGGTAGATCCTTAATGGTGGCGTGTCCAGTGTCTCGAGACATGGAAGTAAAAGCAGCGGATTTGTAAATCCAACGTAGGCTTCGTTGGCCGATGTCTGACGGTGTTCCCAATTGCACGCGCAAGCAGGCAGGTGTGCTGGCTGAGAGGCTCTGCAGAGATCGCCATGGTCGTGACCTTGCTGGTTTTACTGGAAACCGCGGTAATTACCTATCATTATTGATAGCCCTCACTAAGTTCCTTAAGTTCAGGGTTTGGCACCACATCAATGTAGTACACAACTTGAACACGTGCATCTCCCCACCCTGCGGGAATCAAACCAAGCCGTGCGCAGGTGGAGGCGAGGAAAACAAATGCAAACCAGGATGCCCCAGGCAAGCTCTGGAAGGAGAGCTGCACGATGTAGAAGGTGAAGAATAGAGCAGGTAACTCTCGCAACTGTTTGAAAGCTACCTCGGCGAAGTGGCAGCTTCGGGACTTAGCAGGTACCGTCTGCAGCACGTGCCTACCCTCTTGAGTTTGAGACATTGCACAGAGAGCGAGAGAGAGAAGCAACTTTTTCGTTCTGCTCTGCCTGTCTTGCCAAGCGAAGGCATGGGGCCAAAGAACAAGCTACGGCGCCACAAATCCCTGAAACATGCAACGTCCCAGGACCTCCCAGTGTCACTTGCGCGTTGCATCCAAAGAAGACTCAAGAGCCTGCCTCTGGCCTAGTCAACTGCCGAGCTGCTGCCAGGACGAGGTTGGCAATCGCACATCCAAGGAAACCGACAAATTGGACACGTTTGCTGGAGGTCTGAGAAGGGAGGCGGCAAAGCGGGCGTTTGCGTCAGGGGATGTACTGGAGCGGGTCTATGCAGATGTGGACAAAGCAAGGTCTCGACTGGAAATTGCACCAATCTTACTTTGACATGCGCACCTTCGATTCATGGTTTTGGAGAATGAACCCTGAGCTTGCACCCCCTCCAGCAAATACATGGAGGGTTGAGAGCGCTTGCAATCCACGCCTTCGTCAGGAACCATGGGGCAAATATCAACCTCAGCTGATTACTGTCGTGTTTGAGGATTTGGACCGCAACACCTACCTGCTTGCTTATACGAGTGGCGATGGGATGACGAGAAGGCGACTCCACAACACCTTACTCTTCAAGAAGCTTGCTCTGTATAAGGCCAATGAAGCTCCTGGAACATCGCCGAAAGAGAGCGAAGCGGAACTTTCAAATGTGAGCTACTTCATCGGGTCTTCTGCTTCCGCTTCGAGGCTTGCAGTGCAGTGCAGGCTCTCTGCTGCTCTCAAGTAAAGGCTTTGCAAAGTCTCGGCATTCCCACTCCACAGGCTGCTGTGCCGGATGTGACCCTCTGGATTTTAAGTCGGGCTGGTGCAAGTCTCATCGAGCCATGACCAAAACTCACGCCTGGGCACCTCGAGAATACTATCCGTGTAGGGGCCACTGCCGTCCGAGTTGAAAATCGCCGCATCGTTCTGCTTCAGACCTAGCGCTCATACGAGCTGCTCAAACGGATCACAACGACCATGGAGAAATGTGTTGGCAATCATCATAGTGCTTGAATGCATCGGACAAGCACCGACCAGCACTAGCATGAGCCCAGGCAGCCATATTCGACGGTGTCAAAGAGGAACCAGCATCCGGCAGTGCCCAATATCGCCCTGGCAGGCCGTGACATTGAGCAAGTCTGGCCTGGCTCATGAAGGAAGACCTCACCCCATACCTGAATCCAAAGACGAGAGCTGCATGCAGGCCTCCAGTACGGTGATAGGATGGTCCAGGTGGTGTCGTGATGCTTCTCTTCTGCCTTCGAATGATCTTGTGTGCGCTGCATGCAGGGCTTGGAACGACGTGCTTCATTTCAATCTCCAAAACCCGGCAGAGTCGATGACTGGTCGGCTGTCGCTGGTTCTAGCCGCCGCCCACAACCCTGCCGCATGTGTGCAGCCTCCTTCGATTGCACAAACTTCAGGCTGTCCTTGCAGGTAGCACTCGCCCGCACAGATGACCTATCCCAAAACGGCTTGGAAGCTTGCTCACTCAAACACCCCTTGCTCTCCTGGATGGTCAGGTATCGCAAAACCAAGCCCAAGGCCGAAAGAATAACACCCACTCCTGGGACCGGGAGGCTTCGATTATTGAGGCACTCCGTCCTTCCAAGTGATGCTTGAGATTAACGTCAGCACCAAGCGAAAGTGGAATCTCGAGATTTGCGTTCCGATTGAGCTCCATTCGCTCAAGACTTCAACAACCAGACAGCGGCTTGGGAAAAGTCAGCCGGACACAGTGAAGCAAGCGCCTCGGCCTCCGGACGCGTGTTTGTACAAGGCTTGGGCAAACTTCTCTTCTTGCTAGATATCTTGTAGCTTGACCTCCTGAAGTTCCAACTTCCGCGCGAAGAAAAAAGAACCACAATACTTAGCAGGCCAGTCCTTACAAGGAGGGAAACCTGACAAGAGCAGCTAGAACAACGCAGTCTGGGCTCCGAAGATGCACCGCCACAATGTCTCATGCGGGACGCCGGCGACCTCCAGGGAGGAATGAGGAAACGACTTTTCCTTACTTACGGGTAGCGCGCTGTTTCAGGTCCGCGGTTTCTGTTAGCGCTGTTCTCCCTTTGCAGCCTCTAAGTCTCGCAGATGCTCACAGGGGAGGGGCTGTGGGCAGTTGGTCGCTCGTGCAATCCAAGTTTGTAGATGACATTCTGCGACCCTCGCCAAGCATGCACTGCAATCAAGCAGCGTCCATGGTGTAGGTCACCAGCGGGCAGAGTGCTTGGCCAAAGCCGCTTCCGAACAGGTAAAGCAAGGCCACGTTGCGGGCACCGTCGCCTCGGTAATGACGGGTTGGGATGGGCTCGGCACATTCCACAAGGAGCCGAGCCGACTGTAGGGTTAGCTCTGTCTTACAACCTGATGGGCAGGGACGGGGCCAAACTCAAAAAGCTCGAGGACGAAATTGGTGTCAAATCAATGTCTCTAGCCCAGAACCACCTTCGCCTTCGATCTGACTAAATACCATGACTTGTCTTTTGGATTTTCGCTGGGGATGCACCTTTCCCGGTATGTGGCATCTCACGTTGCAAAGACGGATAGACTCCTTGCAAAGAGGCCACTGGTCTTCTCCGATGACTCAGCCGAATGCGATGAGGCCAGTGGGTACTCACCCCCCATGCCAATCCCAGTAATGATGCCTGGGCACAGCTGGGCAAATCAAACTTGTGCTGGCCTGCTTCGTGACGCCAGCCCGTTTTTCGGTGGAGGCGGCCACGCTTGCTGTAGAATCTCTCTTGTCGTCGTTGGGGGCTGCAAATTCGGCAGTTACGCTGCGTTGGAAGAAGAAACCGCAGGCAATTGAGTCAAACTAGGATACTCCATGTGAAGCAAATACCCCCGACAGCAAGACCGTGCGCTCACTGCACCGCAGAGCCACGGAGCAAAGTCAACTCCCTCTTAGCCCTTCGCACTTGCCAGGTCTAGGGTTCACGAGTCATCGCTCTCTAGTTTTGGAGAGGAGCAGGACTCCTGGTGCCGTTTGGCTTCGGGGACTGAGGGTCGAGGTCTATGGTCGAAGTACGCACCGCGAAGTTTCAGAGTTTGGGAGCAACGCTGCCCTCTCGAGCGCGCGCGGTGAACAAGCGGTGAGACACATTCAGTATCGCAGCCAGCATTCAGCCAACAACGCAGCTGCTACGATTATACATGAGTATACTCAACTCGGGCTGAAGCCGTCTCCTGCCAGGTGGCGCGCTATAATCAGGGCATTCTCACTCCAGGCAAGAGCTGAAAGCAAGGCGCCTCGGCTGGATTCCGAAATACTGGGACTGGGGCAGCTTGATATTCTTCTGCGGTATCTTTCAACATTATTCTTCATTTATACCGTGCCGTTACGATTATGTCCTGTCGTGTGTTCTTCTTGATTCTGAATACCAATACCACTGACGCTGATGATGGTGATGATGATGTCGACGCTCGCAGTTGTTCGTCTCTCATTCGTCCTCTCATTCCCTATAACTATGACAATCAAGTCTTGCAAACTGCTTACCGTGTCAGGCCTGGGTAGATTAGCAACAACACAACACCATGACAAAAGCTAGGTGCGACAGGTCAGAGCCAAGACTCCAATAAGGGTGATAACGGAACAGCCGATGAGGCCCATGCGGCGACCGATATAGTCAGAAGCTGGACCTCAGCAGGGTCTTGCAGGCGATGAAATTTTGGCAAGCGCAGCTTTGAATACACTTGACAAATGCTAAAATTATTTTGTGCCCATGTCACCCATGACGAGCATGCCAAGGATGGCCCCGCCATACATGGCAGCTTTGACAAAATCCTGCATCCAAAGCCAGCACCCGGCTGCTTTCGATTTTCGATGACTGCCATAAAACCAATCCTTTGAATTGTTTGGCGATGGAACGGCCATGTCAGGCTTGTCAGGAGGGTGACGAAACTCCAACAGTTGACTCCAACACTGCTACGCAGAGCCCTGCAAACTTAAACGCTGTGTTGTGAATGGACAATGCAAGCACCGCAGTCCTTCTGCGAATCAGTCGCGTGGAACTCAGTGGCATAGTGCTCAACAAAATTCGTGGCACCGAGCATATACTTGTCAGTCAGCAAGCCTGGGATGGCTCAGCTGCTCTAAGCAAGACGAAAGGGCTCAAACACAAATAGCAGCATTCGCTGCCTGGATCAGAATGACTTAGGGTTCTCGGCCGGTGAGTCACTAACACAAGGGAGTGAACGGCGCAGAATCAAACTGCATGGCGTATGCCGCAGACACAGGGCTGCAAGGCATCTTGCACCGCCGAGTAGCCCATGCCGGTGGCAAGGGCGCTGAGCACGCGCGCCATAACTAATTTGGAATGGGAAAACCAAAAACCGCTGGGATGCACTTCGACTCCTCCTCTTCTGTGCTTGGGCCGACATGTCGCAACCGGCGAAAGAACAACTGTCTGAAGTATTGATCCATGCCATACTGTTCAACAGCATGCGTAGTCAGGCTGTGCTGTCGCGGGCAACAAAACTGTGGGATGTCATGGCTTGCAAATGCTTGCGCTGTTCCCCACGCTGCCGTCGCACACAAACCCTGATTGTAGAGCCCCTGTCATGATGCTGGGGGACTGCCATCATTTCGATACCTTATCGCAGTGTGTCTGGCTGCCCTGGGGGTTTCAGGCATCCTTGAGACAGTTTCCGACATCGAATATCGCCTTGGAGCGATCACCTGCGAATCGAATGATTTTGCATTCTACACGGAGGAACTTTCAAGACAGGACAGGAAGCCTCCACCTCAGTACCAGTCCCCGAATCTTTGCAGGCAAGCTCTTTCTCTCTTCGAGCGCCCCACATCGCTCTCAGCAAGTTAAAGGCAAAAAACAACACAAATTTTCCACAGTTATGGGAGACGAAAACGACAGAAACAGTCGCCAACCTGCCCTGATCATTTGCGCGTAATGCAGCAAACAGTGAACCAGGACTGTGGCACATCTACCGCGCACCACTCTTCCCATGTCCGGATCAAATTCTGCAAACCATCGCAGAAGTTGTCGTCCCGTTTCTCGGCAGTCTCTGTGTAGTGTGCCAGATCTATAAGATGGACTTGCCATCGGCCTCCATGTCTCATTTCACGAGTTAGGAGAAGGCTGGCTGCTCTCAGAGTTCCGCCGAAGCCCTGCTCTGCCGCCGTGCTGATCGCTTTCAGCTTCCCGAGGATCTCCGCAGCCGCTCTCATGTCAACTTCGCAACCTGCAAACACCAGACATGCCGTGGGCAGTTCGAAGGCTGAGAGGAAAAAACCACGTCTAAATAAAACCGCTTGCCAGATCTTCCCCCAGCTCATTCTTAGTCTTGAGTTCCAGATCACGGCCTCGGCTATCTGGGCGGCACAGGCCGGCCATGCCCTCCGGCAAAGGTCCTTCCACTGCAAGCCGGAGAAGAAAATACTCGAGCTTTGTGATGCAATATGAGCGAGGCTTATGCGGCAATGTTGCAGAGTTCGCTCGAAGTACGGTGACATCAGAGCTCATGGCAACAACTGTGCACTTAAGGGTGATTGGCAGTGACTTGGCATACTATTTGCATGTCGGGCGAGAGTTGTAGGCTTCGGCACTTCTTGGTAGACTTCTCGATGTGTGCATATCATCCTTGCGCAGGGGCCATTCATCTTCTCTGTGTCGTTCCAATCATGTTCCAAGGATCCGAAGCCGGGTGCTGAGGCCAGGAATGCGGGGAGCAGCCAGTCTCCGAACTCCTTCGTTTTCAGGCTGAATCGTGCCTCGCCAAAAGCGAATATCTGCTTACATATTTAACATGTGTCTCTGCAGTCTTGCATACCTTGCTTTGTTTCGGTTCTGTGTTGCAGGCGGAATTGGAAGTTTTTCGAATTTCGCAGCGTATCGGCCTTGCTCCTCCTGTGGCTACACAATTCCGTACTATATCTCGTGGAACCGAAACGAAAGAGAGAGAGAGTGAGAGAGCTATCCATATCTAGTTTCATATTTTCTACACACACACACACACGGGACTCGAAGCTGTGATCCGACATGCTCGGAACCCAAAGGCTTTCATGAAGTGCACGCCGCCACTGCGCAGATGCCAGCCCTTTCCAATTCCCGGCCTTCAAGTTGGTCGAGTTTAGCACCAGGTCCCCCGCCTCACAAACTGACAGACAGCTGCTGGCAAGACGACCAAGCTTTTTCAGGTCTTGGATGGTGGGGAAGCTTCGGGATGTTTATACGTACGCCAAGACACATGAGGCCAGCACATGCTTGTGACTTGGCTAAATCTACGGCCTGCGGAACCTACCGGAAGCTCAAAGGATGCCAGCTCCAGGTTTCGCGGCGCTGGACAGCAGCGACTGAGCAAAAACCTACTTGTGCTGATTGTACATAGATGGAAGTTACTTGGGATAGATTGCAGGCATATGCAGGCTGCAGCCGCGACATCCACATCCGTCTAATCTGGCCAATGCTTGCGTGGCCCTGCACCTTCATTCCTGCCACTCTGAAGCCATCCATAGCACTGCTTGCGGAATAGATCTCATCAAACTTCTTGGACTCCTGCTGCGGGCTTGGGGTGCGATGGCCTCCATGGTTGACATGACTCCACATGTAACGACAGGTGGAGGTGTTGCCAATCCCGCAATTCTGTCGATAATGCCTCCGCTGTCAATCCCAAAGTTGCCGCTCCTTCGCAATCTTGGCGGGGTCTGCCTGGTCCTGCCAAAAATAAACTTGACCTCTGATCGGCCTAACTCTCAAGGCCCCCTTCAGGTGCAAGTGATCCTCCCAAGTCTTCTTGCCAATCTTGATGTCCAGTGTGGCGGTTGGCCCTGTCATGCCGAAGTAGGCACTGTTCAGCTCCATGTACTCCTCGGATGTCACGCAGTGCTCTAAGGACCTGGGAACATCATGCTGAAAAGCCACTTTGGCGGAAGATCCGACGCCAAAGCCCACTCAATCGCTGGAAGCTTCAACACAACTCGCGAGGCCGGGCCAGGAGACTGCACCTTCAACTTTCCGAGTGCCGTGGAAGCCGCAGAGAAACGGTGCCAGGGGCGAACCTGTGGCTGTGGGCCGAGAGAGGCAGCAAATACGACGCTGACTTTCCCGGCTGATCCAATATACTCTCTAAGCTCTCACTTCAGAACGGAAGGCTGACCTTTGGCTCGAAAACTTCTTTATGAAGAACACATCAGGGCATGCAACACGCCTACGACCGCAGCTCCTACCACTCCAAAGCTAACATCCGGCTTGCGCCCTTCAAGGGGCTGCGTCCTCTGGCTGGCAACTGGGTGCACTGGTAGTGAGTGCTATGCAGCATGGGAACAAGCAAGGCTTCGATAAGCTGCAATCTCGCTGGAACACCTGCCAGAATTCTTGCATGGAGACAACTGAACGCAAAGGCATCGCCGACTTCTGTACCCAACTTCCAGCTATTTGCCTGGGAGTCCTTATTCTGTGCCTGCAGGCTGGTTTGAAAATGTTTTAAACGTTTCAGCCTTTGCCTGAGCAATTCGTAAGTGTCAGTGGCCTCGCCCCTTGATCCAACGGCTTCAATATGCGTGAACCTGCAGGGGCACTGGAATGACATGGTACATGTTTCATGGCGACTCAGTGCCAAGCTGGAAGTGAGATGTTGCTTCCTGTCGCCCGTCGACTTGCTGCTTCAAGACCGCAAGGCCGCGGACCGTCTGTGTTGATCATCATCTCGGCATGTGCACCCCCAGCTTTGCCGCCGAGCACCTGCCATTCCTCGCTCCTTGGTGTCCGGGCCCCAATTCAAAAGCTATCCTCTTCTCCAGCACTGGCACTCGTCTGCCCAGCGTCTTCGCGTGATGCTCACGAGGGGTGCCCAGCATGGCTGCAGCGGCTCGGATCGTTCTACCCTGCTCAAGTTGCCCCGGGCTGATTCGATTTTTGCCTTCCATCTGCTGCCTTGTCGGAAATTGCTCGGGTCAACCTCCGAAATTTCGCATGCTAAGTTGACTACTGCCTTCAGACTCAACATGGCGTGACCAGTCTCAAAGTTTAAAACGGGTGCTGCGATAGATGGCCTGAAACGATGACTACAGCCTCTGGCAGTTTGCACACCAGTCGAAGCCTGCCCTTGTTGCACCCCAACAATACTTCGAGCAGCCTGGGGTGATCGGCAAACTGTCGTGGCCTTTTGCGATCTGCTTTCCCACCCTGGCCGCGATCTCTGCGTAGTCAGCCATTGCGATGCGCGACGCAGCCGAGGGGCTCGGGTAGGTGTCGGCAACGGTACCGGGATGGGCTCTCTTTCCGGGTCGAGAGTGCAAGATCCTGTCCCGCTGCAGTGCGACGATTGTCAGATCTGCTGAGCAAGACCCACAGCAAACAACCCGAGCCAGTATGGGGAATCAAGGATGCAGCAACAACCTGGTTTTTTGCGCGAATCCTGTAGGCCTAGCTCAGCTTCACTCTTTCCACATGCTATGAGGCAAGGATTTTCAAGAGAGGTAGGCTTTCATTCTTCACTGCCGAATGCGCTGTCAGGACCAATGGCGCATTTCGCCCATGGTGGAGTCGTGCAGGCATCACCAGGCTCTAAACGCCAAGAGCTTATGACTCATTTACGCTGCTCGAGGCTCCCAGTTAGTATTCTCGATTTGGTCCCTGCCCCATTGAGACGACTGCTTGCTTCTAGCGCAGATCAGCAGCGGCACAAGGCGCAAATGGTGTAACCTCGGTCAAAGTGCATGGCAGACCGGCAGATGAGATCTGTAAGTGCGCTTTGGAACTCGGTGGGAGGAAGGAGGCAGCAACCATGCCTATTCCGGTTTTCATGTGGCGTTCAAGATGTTGCAAACGCAGTGCGCTAGCCGGGGCTCCTGCCCAAAGATGTCGCAATGGTCGAATGACAGCCTCAGCAATACATCCACATTCAGGCTGAATGTTCGCAGTCTTCTGCGGTGACTGCGAAACACTCCAACAACTTCGAGCACTGACTGCACTTTCTTAAGCCGCCTTGATGCAAAGATGGAAGGATTTCTTGGGTCCTTGCGATAGCAAACGGCGGACTCAGTCCGCGCTCGTTTATTGGAGCGGTCGTCCTTGAAAGCATGCATGCTTTACCAGGGCAACGTGGCTGAAGGGGTCGTTTGCGAGATCTTACAAGTCGCAGTGGGTTTGGGGAAGTGGTGCATGAAACATACCGAATTCCTGCGTGCACCTCTGGATGTGCCAAGCCTATGAACAGACTTCAGGAAGCGAAGGACGGTAATTGAACAGCATATGGCGCTTGCAGCACCACTTAATCTCAGTCCATATAGTCCATCTGGAGCTCGCTGACCATCAGTCGTTAACATGCTTGAGATGTCTAGGAACACATAATACACGGTCCCTGATAGTGCCCTTTTGGATGCGATGCAAACATGTATGACGCTCTGAGAGTTCGAACAGGCCGCAGTCTACTCCAGGAACCCTCGCAGCCGGCTTCCAACAGTTTCTGAGATCTGGACCTGGGAGCTCTCCTTAGTGTAGATTCAGTGTAGATAGTGTAGATTCGATGGGTCGACCTACTATGGACCCAACATCACCAAGAGACTGTTCGTGGAAGCGCAGCCGAATCCCAGTAGGATTGTTCTTTAGAATCTGCAGGGTTTCGGCGCTCACTCTCGGAAAGGTGTTTGAGGGTTGATGTGAAGACTCAACCAGAGTCTTCCAGTCAACAGTGAAGCTTTACGCTCTCACAACTCGGGCAAGCCATGCGAGGATCCACGGTCGCAGGTCGGAGTGATTCTCTTAGGAGGTTGGCTTGACCGGTACTATCAAGGAAGGCTCAAAAGTAGCTTTAAGATTGAACTAAACAGAGGAGTAGTCCAGGGCTCGAGCTGTTGATGCTGTGTGAGCGTTCTATGGCACGTGAAGAGTTACGCTTGCACATTTCCGTCATCTGCATGGTCCGCAGACTCAAAGATGCACTGGATTTGGCTCTTGATCTAATTTGTCGCGTTGCTCTGACATCCGCGAAGCACTCACGAACCTACTTCTACGCCGGGCCGTTGGAAGAACCTTCGGTGATCGGCCTTTGAGCTCCCTTCGATGCGATATCAAACCGAAACTTGCCACCCAGTGGACATGGGCTTCGAGATATGTTTAAAGGGTTTTAGAATGTTTGACAAGTAGCACCTTCTGGGTATCGTTCTCGCATTGTCTGCACGCTGGTGGAAACGAATACAACGGAGTCTGCTCGTTTTTGATCCCAACTCCCAAACCAGCACCGCGCTTTGCGGACTTAGTGCGGCAAAACCCTCAAACTTAAAGCCAGAAGTCCTCGCCGTCACCTTGCAAGTCTTCCCTCCGCGCAATTAAAGTCCCACCGGCTAAAACCCAACCCTGCGCTCTACTTTATCCTTGGCGGCGGTGATAGTCGAGTCTTGCTCCCGTCAAGGCACTGCGGAGGCGAGTTTGGATAACATGGGACCCCGACCAACTTATTTCTGAGCTTAGGGGCTTGGGCTTCACATGGTCTCAAGCGCCAGGGCACACGACTGTGTCCATCCCTGCGACTCCGAGTCGTGCTCAAGGGTAACGGTAGCTACCGAAGCTCGCAGCATCAGGATCTGCTTTGATTCTGGTAGGGTTCCCAATCCGAAACTCTGGATTTTTCGGACTACGCCGACGATGTCCGCGAGTCTCATCGTGGTCTTGGGTCGCAGGGCACGTGGAGCCAAGCTAAATGCATTGCCCTCGCCTTCCATGTTGTAGCTAAACGAAAGTGGCAGCTGTGCAATGCAGGGCCTAGGCACGGATAACTTCGAGCTGCGACTTGGCTCCCGATGACGAACTGATGTCTTGGCCGCGGAACAACCACTTCATGCAATGCTAATCGGAACCATGCTGCCATCGACTAGAACATGCATTTCTCCCCTTTGTTGATGCAGGGTTCACGACGACCGCGATCTAGGCTATGCTATTGCAGCATGAAGCCGGCCTCACATCAGTCCAGCCCCTGCGCATTTCGCTAGTGCCTCCTCCGTCAGATATCTAGCAGCGGCAATTGCATCAGCCTTCACGTGAACGAAGTCATATATGAGTTACATGATTGGCAGGGTTCATGGAGCAACAATGGAAGCAAACTGCTACTTCCAAGCCTTGCCTCCTCACCTGGAGCGATGACGGGAGGGTTCAGGAGGATGCGAACCGCCTCTTCGGCATCCTTGCGGTCAGCACAGCCACGGGAAAACAGGAGCCTTCGAGTGGATCCCCGCATGCAAATGCGGCAGTGGATGCCCCTGTCCTTCTCAGTTATGCAGTACTTCGGGTTTGTCAGGACTGAGCGATGCCTGGCATCGAGAGCTTCCGCGAAACTCCCGCAACGAGACCAACTCAACGATCCTCACAAGACCAACAGCCCGGCAAAATGCCAGGAATCAAACATGATCAGAACTTACTGGCCAGGGGATTTCCGTGGCTGTTGCTCGAATGCAAAGATCTCTTCAAAAGTGGCTTCGCCGCCGCCATGATGCCGCAGTGTGTGCAGTTGTAGATCCAGGGCCCGTGCTTCATCAGCGGTGTTCCCGACACCTTTACGCTGTCAGCCCAGCTAAAGTCGATATCATCAATGGCCACCCAAGCCTTCGAGGGCAGGTCAGGTCACAGCAGCTAAATGGGGCTGACATAACACCAGCTTAAAAGCAAGCTCGGAGGCTTCCTGGAGATGTCTTTCCCCCTTCAGGTTGCAAAGCTCCGAAGCCGGCCTTGACATCTTTGTGCTGCTTCAGCCAGCTGCCTATCTCTCGTGCGCGGCGCTCGGCCCAAATGATCGCCTGCACAGAGCCAGGCTTGAGAATCAAAGTGCTTGTGCCATGTGCATGCAGTAGGCCAGCCAGGTGCTACCGCAAAAACGGTCCCAACTGCCTCAGCATTCGGCTCCACCCTGAAACGATGTGTGCGCCTGATCAAGCCTCTGCTTGACCAGCTCGGCCGAGGGCTGGAAGATTGGCGTAGAATCTTGAATGCCAGGAATATCCTTAATCGAGCTGTGCTGCATGGGGCAACAGCACTAGCACATCGGGTCTCGCAGGCGTAAACATGAGGACTTTGCATAGGCCTGCAGCGCTTGACTGTTTTACGAACTGTGTAACTCTCTAGCACTGGACCGTGTAACGCCGCCAGTAAGCACTGTCCAGAAGACATCTGGCACAATGCGCAAGTACTGCAGGGAGGACGCTTTCATTAAGTGGAATGAGCAGAATCAGGCTGTCCCAGGGTGTGCACCTGGGTTTGAAGAGTTCTTCGGATGTTGTCCCTCATCTCCTCGCAGGGCCGCTGGCACTTGTGAATGAATGGCCGAGTCCGTACGACATTGAGCCTGGAAACACCCGAACGGCCGTCCGTGAGCACATGCAGAGTTGGGAAAAGCAACTGAAACCCTCACTGATGCTGCTTTTTATTGCAGGTTTGCGTACTGTATAAGCATGGCTCTTCAGGCTTCACGCTTCTAAGGTCGTGCTCTGGGGCGTTGCCAAGGCCCGGAGCCTCCTTCCGTCGCCACTCGGAGGACAGAACAATCGAAGCACCAGTCCTTAAAAGTGCGCACCGCGCTGCTGCGAATCGGGACTGTCCAGGGTTTTAGCTTCAGAGATTCGAGATATTTCGCTGAAATCAACCTCTCAGTGGAAAGGGATAAACGCGTCGCTTGTGACCTCACTGACTGGTCTCGCAAAAGTGCAGCCTAAACATTTGCTTTGGCAAGCTTGGGCCCTGACTGCTGCACTATCGCCCGCAGGTTGGACAAAGCAGTTCCTTAGCCAGGGCCATGGGGCACGGATTCTGCCTGCATCTCGTGGCGTAAGCACCAGGGGCAAGATTCTGTTGAAGTCTGCTTCCTTTGCCGCCCGCACAGGCAGCATGACGCCATCAATGAATATCCTGCAGGTCAGGAACTGATAAGCTGTGACCACAGGGCCAGCTCTTACTGTCGAAGCATCTCCAGATTCTCTGGTTATGCAAAGCATTGAACATCTGTCAAGTCCTCCTGACTTTGCCAAGGTAGGAAGCGTATAAGATAACTCCGCAGTGCATCGAAACTGCCCCAGTGAACGGGAGCTTCCAGCCCTTTCTCTCTTCTGTCATTCTCTTTCTTGTCCACAAGGCACAAGCCGCTCGCTTTCTCTATCCCTCGATGTCTCCCATGTACAAGGGCGCACATTTCGACGCTGCCGGCTGGGAGAAGGACACCGTCGACATCCAGGAATATTACTCTTGACCTTGCGCTCCGAGGATGAACGGAGCTACTGCTGAGTCAGCGGGTTTTGGGCCGTGGGTGCAGTCAGCGCTCAGTCAAGGCCAGAGAATCGAAATCGCCCACAACCGAGTGTTGTTTGTGTACCCCCGGCCTGTCGACCGGTGGAAGCTTCGGCCGCGTGCTCAGCCTCGAAATTTAGGATCTTGAGGGCATGGGTGGTAAACTTTTCGAACTGGGAGATCCGGCCCGGTTCCATGAAGTGGGCTTTCCGTTTGCCTGATCACCCGTCGCTTCCTTCTTGTCTCTTATCGTCTTCTTCGTGCCAGCAACGGCAAACGTGTGATTCGTACTCCGTTTTGTTCCCTAGCTTTCCTACCCGTGTGCACCGAGCAGTGCTCGAACGAGCTTTGCGAGGTTCCCTTACTCGTAATTGCCAGCCCCGGTAGAAGCCAACTAACCAGACACGACTGGAGACACGATCCCTAGCAGGCGGTGAAATAGTCCCCACGCACCGTTGCTGAGGATGTAGCTGCTCGGCTTTGCGTGCCTTAGCAGCCGTAGCCTTGGCCGTGCAGCAAGAACTGGACACAGGCTATCGTTTCGGTGCCAAACAGACTATGGAATAATGCTTTGCACAGCGGTTTCGACAATGGCAAGGTTGCTATGAAGTCCTATACAACAGCAGGAACAAGCAGCGATCCACCGACGGGCCTTGTCATTCTCCGGATCAGGAGGGGGAAGGAAGTCGTAAAGGCCACCGAGCCCCGGGTCCTCAGTTCGGAACCCTGCAAACTTTCAGAAGGCTTTTTGATCATGCCGCTCGGAGCAGGGACCTTATGGTACACCCCGCTTAACGATGGTTTTGTGCAGCGGGAGGCTGATTTAAAGCACCGTTCACTCAAAACGCAACCTTGCCACTTGCCACCACCCTTTTGCTTCTAACCGAGGGATCTCAGATCTCAAAATGACTCAGGCGACGCGGACGGTGCCATGCTCAGCATGGCACCCACAAGCTCTGAAGATCCGCGACTTATATATTGATGTTACGTCGATATTGTTTGGGCCAACCCTTCGGTGGCCCTGAATGAGAATCACTGGCCGTGGTGCATAGTCTTCTGCAGATGACCCGCCAAAACTCCTCATCTCAATCTCAAACACCCCTTTTGCATCCATGTCCCTGGACCCTGAAGATACTACTTCCTGCCATGGATGTTCTGACTGGTACCATGAGTGAGTCGCAGCAGCAGCAGCAGCATCATCATCATCATCATCATCATCATCATCATCTGTCTGAATGTTGTTTCAATACTACGGTTCTGATTGACTATGATTGCATGAATGCTTGTCGCCGTGGGCTAGCACTTCTAGTGTAGGGGCCTTTATGATTAGAACAGGGTCTTGGGAGGTATGCTATACTGTACTATACTTGTAAACTAAGGGATTTAGGCTCCATATTTTCCCTCTCGCATCCTGAACCCTAAACCCTATATTTTCCCTTCGGCCATGTAGTAAACCATTACAGAAGCCCCTATAATAATCCATTATAGTAACCCTTTAAAGGAACCCTCTATATTAACTCCACATAAACCCCTACAGAACCTTATAATGACCTTTATAGTTACCCTTTCAGCACTCACAACTGGGACAAGCCTGGCGAGGTTATAGTAACCCTTTTAAGGAACCTTATTTGGGGAGTTCCGAAAATAGGTGACCCTAATATAGGTACCCTAAATAGTAGGATCCCTATTATAAGGACCCCCAAATAAGGTACCCCCTTATTTTCTGAAACTCCCATTTAGGCACTGTAAAGGAACCCACTTAGGGCCCTTTAAAGGAACCCCATTTACGGCCCTTGAAAGGAACCCTCTTAAGGCCCCCCTAGATTTCTTAGGAACCCATTTAAGCCCCTTAAAAGGAACCCATTTAGGGCCCCTTAAAAGGAAACCTCTTTCGGCCCCCTCTATTTCTTAGGAACCCTCTTTAGGGCCCTTTAAAGGAACCCCATTTACGGCCCTTTAAAGGAACCTAAATAGTAGGATCCCTATTATAAGGACCCCCAAATAAGGCCCCCCTCTATTTCTTAGAACCTTTACAACAACCTTTATAGTAACCCTTTAAGGAAGCCCTCATAAGGCCCCTTAAAAGGAACCCTCTTTAGGCCCCCTATACATTTCTTGGGAACCCTATTTAGGGCCCTTTAAAGGAACCCTAAGGAACCTTATTAAGGCCCCCTCTATATATATATATATATCCTATTTAGGCCCCCCCTTCTATTTCTTAGGCTTCTCCGGTGCTTTTGAGACTTCGCCTCGGCAGGCTGCGCCTCGGCCTTTCGCTTCCTCGAGGGCTCCGACATCCCTGCGCCCAAGGAGCCAAGGAAAGGGATATGACTTTTATCACTTTTATTATTATTAGTATTATTAGTACTATTATTATTATGATTATTAGTACTACTACTATTATGACTGTTATTACTACTATTTATGACTGTTGTTACTACTATTATGACTGTTATTACTAGTATTATTCCTACTATTATTGTGGTTGTTATTAATATTGGTAGTTTTACTACTGTTAATACTCGTATTCCAAGTATTACTACTACCATTACTATTGTTAGCATTACAGCTGGCTGGCTGAGGCTAGCTGGCTCTCGGGTTGCTCATTGATCCAGGCGAGGGTTCGAGTTTTGGGGTCCCTTTGGGGAGTTCAAGGCAGCTTGGGGCTTTCTCGACCCTGAGAGCAGCTGGTACCTGGTTCTCTGTTGGGGCTATATTAAACATGATCATTGTTAATCGTCATTGGGTTTAATGGTAACAAAAAATGTAAGCCAGGTACGAGGATTGCACATTATGCTTTGGCGTATGACTGGAGCGGGGGTTGGCGGCTCAGTGTTTTTGGAAGCTTGGGGAAAAGGGACTCGTGTGTCTGGAAAGCTCGAACCAGTGAGCAAGAAGCAGATCTGAGTGATTTTGGTTTGCAGAGGTGGTGGTGTCTGCAACTTTCAACTGGCTCTCGGAAACGTTGTGCCCTGCAACAATCTTCCACAGAAGGAACTTGAGATGTCCAAGATCAAACCCTACGTTGAGCCAGCGCTCATCTCCAAACCATGAACAGAGCCCTGCACAACCGCCGCTTGTCCCAAGTATTCCGAAGTGTTCAGCAACTTCCTGCAACAAACATTGAACCCCTTGCAACACAGATAATGTAGCTGAATGCAGAGAGCTCCACCCGCTTGGGCCCAAAAGGACTCCCCTAGGCTGCCTCGCGCCCTCCTACCCTTTCATGGCTCGAGCCAAGCATGGAAAGGGCAGCATGGAAAGTCTTGATGCCAAGGCAACTGGGATCATGCATAGCCCGCGGATGTCATATGATTGCAATGGCCAAGAAGCTCGTCTGAGGCTTACGGGTTCCGGCACTAGGCTGTTGACTCTCATGTTTCAGGATTTGAAGAGTCCAATGGGCTGAGCTCGTGGCAGCAAGACGTTTCCGTGCTTGCCTGATCAGGCATCAAGCTTGAATTAATCCCTTCTGCACTTATCAGCACAATGCTGAGCAGAACTAGGCATTCCTGGGAAGGACGAGGTGCAGGAGACTGTCTTGTCGCGGTGAATTTTGTTGATCCCGCCGCTTTTCGGCAAGGCTGTACATTCCAACCCATTGCGATTTCTGAGCCAGAATCGCCCTGAGGCGCGAGCTCGACGGCGGCCTGGCTGCTGGCATAGATGCTCATGCACTGCTTGCATTCAAAAACAAATCAAGTACGCAGCGCCCCCAAGGCCATCGTCGCCGCATGGCCACAGGCAGTTGGGATGACTACCCTCCTTACGCAGCTCACACAGAACAAGTGGACAAAGGCGGGGGACCTTCGCATCCGGATCGTCCCGAAGCTCCTCGACCTTCAGCAGCATGCAGGTTCATGCATCCGGTGCATCGCAGACGAGAGCATAAATCTCGCAGACGAATCAAACGACATCTGAGGCCCTTTGCCCCATGCGCAAAACGGCCTTGGTGTCCACTGGAAGCACTGCGCTCATAACAAGTCTTCGCAGCCTGGTGCCTTTTGCGGTCCAGACAGAACTGACTGAAGTGGTCGAGATAAGCAAGCAACGAGCTGCGACTTGTGTGAGGCGGCGGCACTGAGCACCGCTTTGGCAGTTGCCCTTCTCGAACCAAGTGCACAGCGCCTGGGCCCCGGAATTGGTAGCTTCTCCGTTGGAGCATCGGCCGAACCGCAGATGCAGAAAAGATCGGTAGCTTCTGAGTCTGAGGTACTGTATGGCTGAAAGAAACCTGAGGAACGAGACTAGGAACGAGTTCTGCAGAACTTTGGGAATGGGAACTCGGGCACAAGAGAACCAGCAGAAATACATAGAAATACGATCGTGGCCCGATGACATGGCCCATCGTGCGGCACTGGGCAGGAGCATGGTCTAAACACAATGCAAGACTGCAAGAGAGAGAGAGAGAGAGAGGTCAACAAAAAGACAAAACAGGCAGGACAGGACACAAGACGCATAATTCAACTTCCCAGTTGAGATATCTTGGCCGCGAGTCGCCGAAAGCTTGTATTCTTTCGGATTCACGCTGTAGTGGTATCAGTCTGCATCTGCATCTGTGCTGTTTACGCATCTGCATGTTTGTCTCGGCGAAGCAAAACTGGCTTTCGCACACCAAATCTGGGCGCCCCCACGGTCTTGAAACAGATATTGGATGCCTTCAGAACCAGACGAAGCTGTCCCATCCCAGGCTCTCCGGTGAGATGCAAAACAAATCCTTCGTGTTCCATAGCACTATCTATTGAATCTCGATCAGACACAGCACTGGGACTTTGAAGAACCATTGTAACATGGTCGTGAGGGTGAAAGACTGCCTGCCTAGCGCAACCTGCATAATTTGTGCACCAGTGCTCAAGAGCTGACACGAACATCACTCGCTGCTTTCCACTCGGGTGCCAGGCTCTCAGCTCCTCCTCGCCGTGTGCGAACTTGCAGTCGGAATCGTCGCACTTCCTAGACGTCGCCAGCAACGGCCGCAATGATCGGATGCTGCCCTCCCTGCTCTTCTGCGAGGCTCTGAGGCGGCGTCCCCTGCAAAAATGCTCGGCCTCTCAGGACTCAAGCATGAGAAAGGCCCTACTGAAGTTTCCATGACGGGTCCTGCAACTTCACGTCCCAGACTTGCTGAATTGAGAGAACCCCAGTTAAACCTCTCCGGGTCCTCCTCTGTAGAATTATAGTACAAAAACCGGCTGCCTTCGACAGCACTGCCGGGAGGAGTGACAGCTGGGTGTGCGGCAAAGCCGTGTTTTTCGCAAGTCTGGGGCCTGCTGCAACTCCGACCTTAAATTGCGCTTTGCTGTGTGGATTTCGAGGCACGAAGCCAGGCTCACACTGAAGGCCATGCAAACCCGCCCTGGATGCGCCGGGCTCGGGCGGCGGCTCTGTATGTGCAAACGCGCAGTCGGCACCATATTTGCACCTGCCGCAAAAACGGAGGCGGCGACGTCTAGAGTCTAGAAGATCAAAAGCATTGACTGCCTTTTGCATGTCAAACAAAAATCAGAGACAATCTCATCATGCAGACGTGATGGCCGGACCTTCCCTCCTTGTGGAACTCGCACATCTTTGTCTTTTTCATCTTCGCTGTCAGGATGGAGCGCCCCTGGATGCAGATGTCGCTTTGGGCCCTGACCTACAGACTGAACGTTCTTCTTATGCTGTAGCTTCTGATGATGCATGCAAGCAGTTTGAGATTCAGCGTCGTGACATGAAAGGCCGTTCTGATGCAATCGCTCGGCTTCTTATGTTGCCTTTCTCCGAACTGATGCCGACCGCGTGTGTAGAACAATAGCGATTGAGCTGTGTTGCAGCCGAACAATGTTTTCATCCGAAATGCACCCTCGCTGGCCGCCAGGCCCAACACGAATAACTGCATGTACGTTTCCCGCTTTTTCGCTTCTCCGTGCCCGATGCTCGATGCTGGCATTGCCACGGTGTATTCTCAAATCTGAGCCACAGGCAATGGTGTCCGCAACCACCTTGCGCTCTTCCTGGCTCTTCCCATGGTGTACATGTAAAAAACCTAACTGGGGCAACTGCACATGAGCCGTCCGGCAATCACTTACAAGATGAACTTAAGACTTACGTAACAGCTTGCAGTAGAACACCTGAAAAGATCGTCGAACAATCCCACACATCGCGCTACGCGGGACGGCCTGCTCTTTGGGGCTCTGGGCCTTTGCTTTGCCCTTTCCGCGTCGCCGCTTCTTGGCAGCGCCAGCCGCCTTTGGCTGGGCCTGCGTCTCGGTGAGTATGGAGTTTCGGCGCCAAGCCTTACGCCTTCCGCATCCACGGTGAGAAGAAACACTGGACCACAGCTAACAAGGCACGTGATAACCACATCCCCGGATGCACCGGTTGTGGCGGATTGAAAATGCTACTGTCAACGGGCTCGGCGTCTTGGCTCACGAGTGGTACTAGCAAGGCAGAAGTGTACTCAGCAGACTGGCGACCCGATCACACATGAAATGTGTGGCAATGCGTTGGCCGGGAGAGCCCATCTGACAGGACGGCTCTTGGCTGCACTTCAGATGGGCTTTCGGCGGAAACGTCGCTCCCCGACCCAGGTTTCCAGCGTCGATTACCGACGATTACCGAAGCACATCCGACAGCTGTGCAGGGACACCGCACCTTTCAGCCATCCCGAACCCGTTGCCTGCGGCTTCTCATCTTCGTTGTCGCCATTTTCAGGTCTGAGAGCTTCAGAACCCGAGCATCCCAGCATGGAGCTGTACGAAGGATTGTAAAGGCAGTTCCTACCCTGCTGTTGAAGAGTTCAGGTTCGTGGCGCTGGACACAGTTCCTTCGCGACACGTGGGCTGCAGAGTGTTGAGCTGGCGGCTCTGGCTCATCATCGTCATAGTTTGCCTGACGGCAGCTTCTCAAGTCTCCTCACCTGGGCCTACAGGGATTAAGACTGTTGTATACATCACATCCAAGAGAGAGTGAGAGAGAGAGAGACAGGACACAAACTTTGGCAGGCAGGGTGAAAGCGGGATAGAATGAAACCAGGGAGGAACGGTTTTCAAAAATCGCAGGGACATACGAATCCCTCAGCAGCCAGGTGCAGCTCTCGCGTGCATCAGAAGTTGCACGTCACATGCGAGGCTGGAACTCTGCCTCCTCCTCCATATACCCTGGGCAAAGAACAAGTCTAAGTGGGAGCTGTCACCAGCATAGCAATCTGAACATCCAGTTGCAAAGATGAGGGCCCGACATCAAACTCCACAGCACCAGCAGAAACCTTTTGCCAAGCAGCAAAGGTATAGACAGACCGTGCTGTGCATCTAGAGTCTAGAGGTTCTGATGCTGCCATATGCTGGCTGGTCCGCACAAGCTTCTTCCTGGGAGCCTTCTCGGCAGCCCCAGCAACTACTGACATCTCACAAGCTCTTCCAGGGCTCGGAAGTTCCTCTAATTGGGGGTGCCCGGGCTTTCTCCCTCACGCAACACCACTGCGAGAACTACATCCAGAGAGGCCATCGAATCAACCGTCTGTTTTGACATCCATTCTTCGGTAGTGTAGCCTTGCGGCATCTTGCGTTGACAGACCGATAAGGAAAGAATTTGCGCAGTAGAAGCACATGCCCTGAGCTCTTTCGGGTCGCTTATATTTATAATTGCACCGATTTTGGAGTCTTATTGTGACCATGTGAGCATCCTCATCGGAGGTCTCTAGGCTTTGCCACTGCTACAAGGAGGAACTACGAAGTAATACGAACATGACTGGAAGAAAGACTGCAAGGCAGTCACTCCCTCCGGAACATCTCACTTCCGAACCAACTTCCGACACCAGAGAAGATTCGAAACTAAATGCAACGCGCTGCTCCCAACGGTGGTGTCGGTGTCACGACCTGAGCACCTGACTCGCTGGTGCAGGTGGGCCCCATCGATGTCTGATCCAGAACGGCAGAGGGCAGCAGTGCTCAGATGCCCCGGACATAGCAACGCGTCTGGGGACTCAAGTAGCAGGAACTTTCAGGGTATCATCTCCCAGCTATGCCTCCTTCCCATGAAACAGCTGACATCCCATTGTTGGAGCCTTTTGTCCAGTCCTTTCCACTGGCCAGCACGTGCTGTGCGTGCTAGACAGTCTATGATGTCTTTGGATCCGTCTTGGCTCCAGGTTTGAATCCGAGCAGGCTGCTGAATGGGAGACTCTTTTGCATCCATGTGCTGTCCCTGCTTTTCAGGGCAGCACATGGAGCTTCTAGGCGATCCTCAAGGCGGAGCATAAACCTGCCACATCACACAAGAGAAAGGCTGCCCCAACTTGTCTTCATGCCCGGTATCCGAAGCCTATGTAGTCAACTGTAAGCTAAGCTGATAAGCTGGCTTCGTCGACACTGTCAAGCTTTCCTGTCATGCCTGCTCCACGAGCAAGCCAAGCCCGGCTGCCGCTCCATCGTGGAGTACCCAAGCATCCTGCTTTTGGACTGCTAGCGCTAGTTTCTGAGAAATCGAAGCTTCCGTCGAGGACCGAGGCCATGCACACGGCCAAGTGAGACTGCGCTAACACGCCCGGAATGCTTTTTCTGCGCCACGCACGAGCCACACTTCAATTGAGGGCGCGCTCGCAGAGCAACAACAACTCCTTTTCCGTTTACGTCTCACTCACTCACTGACTCACTCACTCGCCGGCACAGCTCCCGAAAAAGGGCCATGCACACAGAGCAGCGAACAAATGCGCACAAAACCATTGTGCCCAAAGAGAAATAAGCCCGTGGCCAGCCTCACTCACCCACCCTCGTCTTTTTCGTCTGCACCACTAAAAACAGAAAGCCATAACGGAAAAAATACGGAGAACCGAAAGGCATTCACAACAAAAGAAGGATATTCCGTCGAGGCAGTCGATGGACGGCTGCAGGTCAACAGCTTCTCACCTCCTCCGGTGCGTCCGTCGGGTTGGCCCAACTGGCCTGTGGGCGACTGAGTGCTGTTGGTAGAGCTCAGCTTGCAAACAGGTCCGACTGTTCCCGATCTTACAGCAGAGTCTGCCCCACCTTCGCAAGCCGAAGCCATGGGCCTTGTGTGTCGCCCGGCACCTGCATCGCAAATTCCAGAATTTCCAGAGGATCCATTTCTTACATATCTACGTGTGCATGTATGATCATGTATGCACAAGACATGACGAAACGAAGCAGGTGCCAAAGCGCTAGGTCATGGGCGGCGAGCAGCTCGTCTCCTGCGTAAAAGAGGTCCACAATAGGAGCCTGGCTGTCACGAAATGAACACTAAGCCTTAACGTCGGCGGAGCATGGCCAGGCGAACATCCTTTCTCTACGCTTCCCATGGTCTCATGCCTCGTGTGCGCAGCAACCCCTATCTAGAATGCATGCGCCTGCGGGTCGGGTGCCGCACGCACCTGGGAGCTTCGAGATGACGCACCGTTGTTGTGCAAACGCAAAGAATTCTTGTTCCCGGCCACAGATCAAAAAGCTTGCTTCCGAATCTCCAACCCTGTTCCCCATGACTCCTGCAAGCCAGACCCGGATTCCTCCAGTTCCGGGATCACCAGCATCCGAATTAGATAACCGAGCTCCGAGGGTAAGGCCGCAATCCTCGGCTTGTAGGTGACGCGCCACACGGAGAGGCCATGGTCCTTCTGACGATGGAAGCACATGTAGAAAGACCAATGGTCTGCCCATGTACAGAAGTACAAGGTCAGCCATTCTCAAGGGAGACACTGGACTCAATGTCACACTTGCTGGCCAAGTCGAGCAAGGAAGCCAGCGACTTGTGCCAAGGGTTGGAAGCGCTGAGTCAGGGAGCAAAGGGAACCGTAGAGCTCGGGATAAACAGGAAGCGTCCTTGGCAATTTGCCTTGCGCGAGAGAGGTCCTCCCGCCGGCTGAGCCTCAAGCCACGTTCCTAAAAGTATTTAGGAGAATTCCAGGCAGGCCCCTTTCTGCTTGGAGCGGACAAAAGGCAAAGCACTGAGCCTCGGACAGGGGGTGCTCTTTGGGCTGCAACGAAGGCGTCTTGAAGAACTCCGGCGGCCACTCTACAAGCGTCCACGCCTTCAGGTCCAAATCAACCCCCTGCTGTGGAACGACATTTCCCTGCAGGGTGCTGCATTGTGCTGGCACCAACACAACAGACCTCTGTTCTCACAGGCTGGTGCTAGTAAACACGTGTCGGTGCTCGACGTGCGGAAGTTTCACAGGATCGGCAGTGTGTCGTTGGGGCCACCACCGCCGAGAAGAAGGGCTCGCCCTCAGTCAGTGCACCAATTCATCAATGCTCGCTGTCCGAATTTCCTACAGCAAAGGTCTTCCACTCAAGGTCGACATGAAAAAGCATGCATCGCGTTTTTATCCGTGTCTGCCCCCGGCAAAACCGACGTCTGCAAGCACTTAACATCGATCCGCTTGCACCCTCGGCTGCCTAAGACGAGAGCCACGTGCAAGCCACCCGCGCAGGCGATGCTCAGCACGCGAGACTGGTCGCCTGAGTGGAAGCATCGAAGCAGTCCATCGACAAAGCCCGTGACACAGCCAAAATTAACCTATAGTACTGTAACCTAACAAGCCTGACGTGCTGTAAACCAGCCCTTCATTGGCTGGAGGGCTTGCTGAGC